AATAAAATATCAGATTCATTTTTATTTGATTTATATAGGGTCATATCTTAGGCTAAGCTAATTTTATATTTACATGCAGTTTGTAGATCTCTCGTGATTATCAGGGATTAGCCGAAGGAGTTTCGCATGATGTATAGCATAAAAATTTGTATCACATGAGATCTCCCCTAGTTCTCTGTGCAAAGCACCTACAGCCCAGTTTCTCGAGAGTTCCAGGCGCTGACGAGTTTCTATAAATCACTAGATAATTGGCTATTTTTTTACATACACGGCATTATACAGAATCACATTTATTTTTCAGATGCATCATTATACATGATAAAAACACTAGGCTTGATATGGATAGTCCTGGGATCGCAAAACTTTATTATTTGATTTATGATAATCATGCTTTAGCCGTTAAGGCGTTTCGCACAATACTATGTATAAAAAAATGCTAAATTTTGAGAACGTGCCATGTGGCTTGATCTCAGAATCCCACTATTATTTAGCTTTAAGTTTGTGTGTTCTTACTAACCTGAAATGCTACATATCTGATATTATCATCACTTAGATTCAAAATAGATGTTGCTGAAAATGATTTTATTCGTCCGATGAATACCATCCGTTGAATTTTATTATTGGTAATATGAAAAAAAAGATCATAGACCTTCCTTGCCCTGTTCGATTTCTTCTGAATAGCGTTTTTGGTAACCTCTTTGGGAAGCTGATCTTTAACCTCATCGTAAAGCTTCTTTAGGGCTTCATGTTCTTTGTATTCTTCTCTATAATGGACAAGGCGTTTCTTTAGTTCCTCTCCATAGTGGTAATAAGTTATAATGAGTTTAAGGCGTGCCTTTTTATTTTACTCTTCAGCATTAGTGATCTTAAAATACAGATCAAAAAAAATTTGGATGCTTCTATCTTCTTGCATTGATTCTCTTTGGAAACCTTTCTTTTCCTTAATTACTGAAATTTGAGTGGTATCAGAAGACAACTCCCGGATGAGTCTTTTTAAAATGTTGAAGTCCTCATCTAGATCACATTTCTTAGATTTCTTGCTGGCTGAAGAATCTGTATCCTCATTAGCCTGTTTTTTGCTCTTACTGTTAGAAGCTGAGTCAGTTTCCTCTGGCAGAGTTGATTCTACTTTCCCATCCTCATTATTCTTCTCATCCATATCCATTTCTTCTGAAGACAATGACGGATCTTTATCATCAGCCATACCACACGAGCATTCTAATACACCTCTCTTATCAGGTTTTCTCGTATAAGTCCGATGGACTATATCACCACAAACATTTAAAATGAGCGACCTAGGTGGGTTTTCTGTTAAAATAGGCTTATCACATTCTTGACACACCTCACAATCCTGGATAATATCATTGGATTTAATAGATGAAAAGTCTGGTTCTTCACAAAGAATATCTTCAGGGAGATATTTTAGTATACTCAACGCAAGGGATTTAAGAGATCTGTCACGCTTCGGTTATACTTTGTAAATATCACTACTTTGGATGTTATCAGTTTGATCTTCTGTATCCGATTCCTCTAGCTCCTCCATATTGTTATCAACAGGAGTATTTAGGCTTTCGACTCTAGCGAAGCTCTCTTGGTTTTCTATAATAGTGTTTTTTCTGAAAAAAAAAGATAATATTTCTAGCTTATTTTATAGGATCGCAGGAGTAAGATATTGCCGAATTTTCATTAGCAATTACACACAGCATTTCATCATTTATTAGTGGTCCCTTTAGGACCAGGCCTTTGCAAATCAATAAAAAAGACTATTATACTCCCAGTTAATGATACGATCGTCGTAAAACATGAAACAAATATATTAATCCTATCTATTAATTTGCTAATCCTGAAATTAAGCTGTATTAACATGCAGGTCTCTAATCATTCAATAAAGTCTTGTATCGCAACTATACATTGTTTTTTCCTCTGGTCACATTTGTTTAGGAAAATAAGGGATGAGAAATCATAGTTAAGCCGGCTCGTTTCTGGCTGATCCTTTTGGGACTGCTCCTCTTTTTTATTGCTTTTCATTTCTTATCTGCAAAAAATATTAATAAAAAAAATATGAATTATATCCTAGAAATACCTGAACTACTTGAAGCTATCTTTGCTTTTCTCAGTCAAAAAGATCTTTATAGAAGTTGTGCCAGAGTAAATCATCAATGGAATGCTGTATCTAAGCTTATTATTCGAAAAAAGAAAAAAGCTGAGTTTATTAGTATTCTCAGCATTCTTGATAATATTATTTTTCACCTATATGATGATCACCTCAGTTTAACCGAAATTGTTAACTATAGCAAGGTTAGTGATATATGGAGTAATATTCTTAATCGGTTAAGTACAAGGACTATTTCTCTTTCTATGTTATATCACTATAAAGCTTTCTTAAATGCTTTTCGCTATAGTAAAAGGCAATTTCTTTATAATAAAAAATGATTTATATATTATTTTACAAGACGTAATACGCAATATTATTTAAAACAGAACCATGAACTAAACAGGTACTATCAGAATATCTATTCACTTTATGAACTAAGAGATGAATTTCATAGACTGGCCAGAGTTTGCCAGTCCTATGACTATAAGCCAAATACTGAGAACGAATTTCGTAGGATATCCAGAGTTTTTTGGTCTATTAGACATTAACTGAATATTTATTACATCAGGAAAAAATAATATAATAATATATATGATCTGATTATACATCACTATCTAACTTATAGTTAAAAGCTAGATATATAAGACACACACTCGTTTTGGTATTTCTCTGAGAGCTTGGCCCTCATAGCTCTTTTTTCAGCCTCTTCATGAGGTATATCATTTTTGACCATATTTTTATATATCATAATTCGCCAATGATTATATGGTAAAGTGGTAATTCCATCAGATAAGATCTAGCGCTTAGTATCTATGGGGCAGAGGGCCTTCTTCTCAGACTCGACCAGAGATAATATGTGATCCTTTGATCAGATACCTACATTCTTTGCATAGAATACTTCCTTACCAAAGAGACAGTCCTGATATACTTGGGTCATAAGATCGAAAACTTCAGATTGGTCTACTGGATTATCTAGCAAAGTTCCCCCTAAGAATGGGAAGTATGTATTAGTTGCCATCTCGCTCATACCTTTTTTACTAACTTCCTTATGTCTAGAATTCGTGGTCTTATCTGCTAAGATATAGTGGTAAGACTTGGCCCAGATATATATAGACTCAGTGATTACATTACCAAGCGTCTCATCCTTGAAAAGGCCTATAGTTTTAGAGTCATTGAGATCAAAGAGATCTGATCACTCAGCCATATCTTTATAGATATCTTCAATCTCGACTTGGAATATGAAAGAGTCTGTATCCATATACCTGAGCTTGGCCTTATCCCCATATTTATCCTTAACATAGTCATACCAGAAGTGGTACATTAAGAGTTTGCTAAGACCCAAGACTGATGCTCTGACTATAATGGGCTTATTGAGAGTTACGCTAGCCTTTCCCATATATGCTCCTACTAATGTAGGTCCAAGCGGTCTGCCATACTTGAATGTGGGCTTCCAGATTTTATTAACGAATTTTTTCTCATCCCTCTCATTATTCATGGCCATGATCTTGACATCCTGGTATTTGCAAACATTTTCCATAGTCTTGCCATATACTGAGTTGTTCATGAGCTTAAAGAAGTCCTTCTTAAATGCATTCTTTGCATTCTGGCGTAACTTGGTATTTTTTGCAATATATGGCACAAGCCAGTTAGTCTGGTTGAAGGATAAAATCTCTGTAACTTCATCTACAACTATACCTAATTTTATATAATATTGGAGCTCTTGATAATGGATAACATAGCCTTTTCAGGGGCCAAGATGTGGAACTAATTTTTCTGTTGCAGAGAAGTGTTCACCATCCATATTATTCACAAGCTCAGTATTATATGGGCATAACATATCTTTTCCTACAGCGATATTTTCTACGGCTGAGAGTAAGTCCTGTAAATAGTTGTGGGTCTTTAGAGAAAAATGTGCATTGATATTTAAGAAATATCCTCGTAGCGTATCTGCCTTAGTTTTTAGAATTATTTTGAGGTATTTTTTTTGTATGGCAGGATTCTTTCTTAAGTACTCCCGACTAGCAACCCACTTATAACTACCTATAGGCAAGAACTGACTCATAGCCCAACCATAAAGATTATTTGCATTGACATATGAGACTCAAGTCGTGGGTTGGGATGAATCGAAAGCCTCTCCCATCTTCGGATTATTGGCTTTGAAATATCGATACACAGCCATAGCTATACTATCATGCTTGGCCTTTTCTACAAAGTCATGCATAGCCATTTCTGTGAATAGCTCAATCTTAACCCCTATCATCTTAAGCATAGCATTCCAGGATAAGGATTGTGCAGATACATAATGACTGGGATCAAGCTTATAATATTTCATAGATGTTTTTCAGAATGCGGTCCAGATATCTATAAGAAGGAATACATCTGTCTTAAGATAAAGATCATGGTACTTGCCTAGATTTTTACATCCAAATTCCTTCCACACTTTCTGGGCATGAAGATAATCCTCTTGGGTAATTTTACCACTAAGAATCCCATGAAATTCGTGAATAGGAGGGAGTTCTGTCTTCAAGAATCTATCCTGTGAATCTATATACTCATAGGGGTATACTCCCTTACGACATACTAGTAAAATCTGCTCTTTTGTATAGCCTTTATCCTCAAAATACTTACTTGTTATAGGCTTATCATTACCCAAATTCTTTGCGAGATTTGATAAGCTAATATTCATGAACTATTGGCTATCAATATATTTGAGCTGACCTACCTTTATAGATTTATATCGCTCAAATGTCTCAGCAATGACACTAATCTGATGCGCATTAACTGAGCGTCCAACAGATTCACAAACCAGGTGTGAGTCATAATCCTGAAAGTTGTGAAAGACTACTGGAATTGGGGTCTTCCATAGTTCGATCTGGAGTTTAAGATTGCAGGACTTATGAGAGGTTCCACGAAACTCACCTGTAATGTGACAGTGCTTCCAGACCTTATCATCCATAGTCTCTGCTTGGTCGATTTGTTTAGTTACTTTAATAATAGCTGTTTTTAAGGATTTATACTCTTCTGAATCCTTAGCAGTCTTTTCTAACTTTCTAGTGAGCCAAGCAGACTGATTTTCCAAGTACTTAACCTTATCCCTATCTATAGCAAATTTACCTTTGCAAATCTAACATTTGTCTGCTTCTTCAAACTTTCTTTTATTCTCATCTATGATTTTTTGATCATGCTTAATAGCTAAGACCCTATTGATTTCTACTAACTTCTGATTAATCTGTCTAACAAATTCTTGAGTGGCATTTTCTCCACGATATAAGAAGGGTCCCCATGTCTTTTCAGAATCAATCCAATGAACTTTATAGCAGAAACTATTAGCCTTTTGCTCTATAAGCTTATGCATGTTACCTCCATATGCTGGAAATGGTTTTGGTTTTATTATCCCTCCTGAATAGTCCCACTTCTTATTATCTGCCTCGAAGTCTGCTATAATAACACATAGAGCATTGATCATTCTTCCATAATTCTTAAACTCCTCGAAATCATTAATATCCTTTAAAGGCAATGTAACTAATTGA